GGCGTCCAGAGCAATGTGCCGACTCGGCTCTTGGCAGCATGCCTCTTAAACTTTGATTGAAACTGACCTTTCCCTCCCTCTTATCAAACAACGTGGCCTTTCCAATGCCTCTGACTCCGCATAATTCACTGATGGTGCCCTTCACATGGGTCTCTGACCTGCCTGACAGCCTGGCAGTCGACATGCTGGGCTGCAGAGAGCAGCGGGAAGGATGGATGGAAATGCCAACATTAGGACAACTGTGATGGCTAAGCAGCTTCTTCAGGGTCAGAGACCTCAGCTCCATCTTCAGCTGAACACTTAAAGCAGGGGTGGAGATTTAGAAGAGAATCAAAAGAAGAGGCTGTCAAGTCAGAGGAATATAACGGTATGATGTACATTAGGATAGAATGGTAGAAGAAAGCAGCAGCAATAGAGCTGCATATTTTAAAGACAAATTACAAGAACAAAACATTTTGCTCATTTCATATTTTGATATTTGTATTTTCATAAAAAAAGAGCAACAGTTAATAGTCAGCCCACTGCTGTCAAGTTAGTGACTTTGTTGGTATATGTAGCAACTTTTCAGAGAGAAAAAAAAAAAAAAAAAAACCCAGTATTTCCCCAAATTGGAATCAGAAGGTCTGACATTTTAAAGATAGGCTGGCAGCCAGAAAACTGCAGTAATTCATATTGTCAACAATTACAAAGAATCAACAAATGTTTTTAAATCTAAATTTAATAACATATCCCACTTCAAGCAGTTTTCCTTTTTTGGAGTTTCTGGCACTCGAGGTATCAGTAACATTTTCTATTTTCCATTTTCCTATTTTTTTTTTTTATTGTTGTTGTTGCTGTTGGAAACTAAATGCTTTTTGTTACTCCACTTTCCACAAATATCAACTTCCCATAGAGAAAAATTGATCCATTCTTATATTTTTATTAGTAGTATTGTAGATACTGTAAGAAGTGTTACCTGACCTTTAAAAAAAAGGTCAGGTAACACTTTGGCTCTAATCAAGTCCTATTTAGCTGGGCTGAGGGGGAAAATGGCTCTTTAGATTGTGAAGGTTGCAGAGCCCTGGGCTAGCCTGTAGGGGTCCCTGATGTCCCTGACTGGGGCCCCTGAGGCCTCAGGGAGCCTTGCTGCTCTTGTTGAGAAATATGGCTTTACAGTGATACCCACAGTACTGTAATCAGGGCCTAGAGATGCTCCATCCTCCATGAAGTGAAAGCAGATGTGTTGGAGCCAGCTGACTGCTGTCTATTCACTGAAGTACTCTCCTTAACTTCAGCCTCCACTCTGCCAGATTCAAGATCCTTACGCTCTGTGAATCAATAGACCGTTAGATTGTAAATGAGCCTCTACTCATTTACAATCAGCATGTTGAACATTGGCTGACTTACATGGTTCACCATCTTTTCCATCGTTACAGCGTGGGGTGACAGCCAGCCTTGGATGCCACCCATCAGTCACACCTGCCAGCTGGCCCTGACCCCTGATCCCTGGCCACCAACACCCAGCTTTGTCTGTGGCCTTTTGTTGCCCACTGGCTTCTACTGACCAATGTCAGGAAGCTTTACATAAAAGGTACTAAAAACAGCTTTGGCAACTCATCAAAGAGATCTGTCTGTAAGATCAAGTAGGTTTGGTGACTCATTGTCAGCTCTTGAGACAAGTTAGCATCAAAAGTCTAAATCCATACAGCAGCATCCTGTAGTTGGACCCAGAGAGAGGTCTGTTATCCTGGGATTAGGAAAAATACTTCAGTTCATAAACAGTGGGGAGAAAAATATTTTCTTCTGCTTTTACTCATTTAATGTCCCCTAAAACAACTAACTTTAATGTCATAGACCAACCGGACATTGTGGTGGTGGATAAAGAACAGATGAAAGCCGTTGTGGTGGATGTAGCAATACCAAGTGACTACAACATCTGGAAAAAGGAGCATGAGAAACTGGAGAAATACCAGGGCCTCAGAGAGGAACTGGAGAAGGCCTGGAAGGTGAAGACCACAGTGGTGCCTGTGGTCATCGGGGCCCTCGGGGCAGTCACCCCCAAACTGGAGCAGTGGCTCAAACAGATCCCAGGAACAACATCAGACATCTCAGTCCAGAAATGTGCAGTTCTAGGCACAGCCAAGATACTGGAGGAGAACCTCAAGCTCCCAGGCCTCTGGTAGAGGACCCGAGCTCAGAGGATGACAGAGAGACCACCCGCAGAGGGTGAGAAGGGAATTTTATATAAGTTGCTTATAGTCCATCCATCCATCCATCCACCGTGGCTGAAAAACCTCTGCACAAAACAATGGTTGCTTTGTTTTTAACATGCATCATTGCTTAATGTGTTTTCCTGAAATAAATTGAAATTGAATTGAATTTTGGCCCCTCGTTATTTCTTGTAGTGAGATGTTTTCTGTCTGACATGCTGTTAGGTTTACATCAGCCTCTCCTGATAAGGTTATCCACTGCTGAGGTTCTCTGGAGTCTCAAACCTTTAGAAATGACTCTACAACACTTTCCAGACTGATACAAGTCAGCAACTTTTTCTGGTCCTGAATTTCTTTCATGATGTTTTGCTGTCTTTGGTCCTTAAGTGAACTTCATATTGTTGCAGACATTCCTATTAAATGTCTTCTTGATTCCACAACCCTGGCAGCATTCAGACCTTGAAGTGGTTATGGAAATTAAACGGAACTTTGGAAAAAGACAGTTAATTAAACTTAATAAATGATTTATCATACATGTGTTTACTTTCTCACATAGACCCAGGTTTGTTTGGATAGTGTTTTTCCCTTATTACAGTAAATGAAATCATCATTTGAAAGCATTGTTCTGTATTTAATCTGATATCAGTCTGATAGTCTGAAAATCAGCCTCAGCTTCTTTGCGTGACAAATCTGGAATAAACTTCCAGAAACCTTCAAAACTGCTGAAACACTGAGTTCCTTTAAGACTAAAAAGCTCCCTGTTTATTTTTATTATTATTATTATTAATAATATTATTATTATTATTATTTAAAGCCCTTTGAACTGCTATGTTGCTGAAATGAATTATACAAATAAACTGAATTGGTTGAAAAATGTAACAGAGATAAAAAGGGAAAATATGAGAATGTGAAAGGAGGTGAATACTTCTCCACACCAGTGCAGCAGGAAATGACCATTTGTTTGGTTTGAGCCAATTGTCTTTCAGCTGCCTCCTCCACACCCTCTGCCAGTGCCAAAAATGAAAAACCAAAGTAGAGAGCAGTGTGCAGCTGAGCCTCATCAGTCTGGCCAGCAATCATCCCCTCCCATCTCAAAGGGTCTTTGTGTCTAAGAGTCTGGTTGAACCGGGGGTGGAGGGTGTCTGGGGCTCCCTTTCCTCCCTCTGGCATAAAAAACAATCAATAAGAAGCATTTTTCTCCATCTCCCTCTGCCACCAGCTTTGGGAGAGAACCTGTCTTGATTCACCTTCACCTCAGAGCTGACCAATCTCCCATGTCTGTCTGTAGCCTTCAGCCCAGAGGCCAAACGGCAGCCAGCAGACTCTGTCTTGGCTCTAGACAATTTCCCTTGTTGAACCCATTTCATACTCTCATCTCTGTAATTTTTGACATTAATTATTCAGGCCCTTCCAGCCAACAGACATAAATCTATTATGTCTGCCGCAATTAAGAGGCTTGTGGTGAAATTAGAAGCGAGGATGGCAGATCTGCATGTTAAAAGGATTTATTAGAGCTCATGTCACTTTAAATATTCATACTATCCATCTGATACACAGAAAGACACACATTTTCTGTAAATGCACATACAGGTATTTATCTATTGTTTATGATATAAATCCTTTATCAGAGTTCAGGCCGGTAGTCTCACTATTCTGGTTCCACACTTTAATTTTCTGGTCTTGTGCTCACAGGAATGTGTCGCTGCTACCAGTGACACTATGAACTCCTCACCACTGGAGGCGCTAGACGAAAACAAGCTGGACAAGCACAGATACACACACACCATATCGGGATGGAGGAAAATACAGCTTCACATCAAGACTGGCTAGAACTCAATATTTAAAAATTGCTGTTAGTAAACCTGACTGAGCAAAGAAGAGCGAGTAAAAATAGCAGATGGTAGCGATGGTAGAGACAAAACAAACCAGCGGCTCTAGAAACTGTTACCTCAGGGGGATCAACACAAATGCATGCTACAGTTTACTAAGAAATATCTGAAAAACATCACATTCTTCTTCTACTTTGTGTTGCTATATGACAAAGTCTGCACTGTCCTAAACAACAGGCTGTTTGTTTCTAGTTACCATGTGAACGACATCTGTTGTCCAAAACGCACAAGAACTGTTCATGTTTAGGAGTCAGCAGCTTTACAGTAAAATACAGGTGCGCTTGATGACAAAGTTGTTAAAGGTGAGGACTCATCTAACCACAAGAGACTTCATAAATGTGGGACTGCTAGCTGAAGCCACTTCCAGGACTCCTCATGCTGAGGTGAGTCTAGACAGAGCATATATGTTTCAGTGGCTCTGTAAGTTCCATGGCAGTGACACCAGCCTGCCATACAAAGGGCTCTCTCTCTCTGGGTTGTAATTTGTAGAAATTCAGCCTAGTTCACATGATGAATGCTGATGTCAATTCAATATTTGGATGCCTTCAATCACTTCTTCAGATTACAATCCTAAGCCAGCACAGAAAATCAACGTCACCATTCACAACTTCTACTTCAGTTGGCCCTGTATTAGTTCTACCGGTGAAATCGAGTTCAATGGAACAAATCCCAGATGGAGCATTTAAGGGAGATGGAAATCGAGTGGAATTCTGTATGTAAAAAGCCACGTATCTTCACGTAGCCCACAGAAAGACAGGTGTAAGTGTCATAAAGCTGCTTGAAGTAAATGAACAGAGTCTGTATGAGATGTAATAACAGAAGGCTGACTGAGGTTTTTGCAGTGGTTGAACAGAAACAATGTGGCATACAGTATGCTGTTCATTAGGAATGTCTCATCAGTTCATCAACATCAGAAACTCACCAGGAATATCCTCTCCAGTTGGTCCTGAATGTCCTTCATTCCAGGAAAGGCAGCCACTCCCTGGATCATCTCGATGAAAATGCAGCCCACTCCCCTGAAACAGAGCAGGACTAGATCAGTGGAGCTCAGCTGAAGCCTTTACGTTGTTCAACATAATCATGGGCTCTTCACTTCCTTAAAGCACATTAAGTTTACATGATTTTAACTCCAACAGTCAGACAGAGAGGTGCTGATTTTCCTTCTCTATAACCTTTTGGTTGGAAATCCTGAGAAATCAAGCCAAGTGGAAGGGAGAAAGAACAATCTTTCTCACTGTGTGCAGTCAGAGCTCATTTATCAAAGCGCTGTGGGTTTTTCCTGACAGATTCACTTTCTGCATCAGTGGACAGCAGCCATCAGAGCAAAGAGACAGCAATATTACCAGTATTTCTTCCCTTCAAACTTTTCATTTGGACCGTTGAATGGAAGCAGACAGCTTCATCTCCATGCAGCTCTGACCCCAGCATCCACTATTTCTGCTGGCTCAGGTGGAGAGAGGTCAGCTCAAGGACAAGAGCTTATTTCAGGCTCGGCCTTGTTCCATTATAAGGTTTTTGGGGCCATTATGAAGCATTATAGTTAAAACGGAAATGTTGTTTAGTAAATACGTGGAGTACTGTGACGTGTTCTGATTGACTTGAGTCAGGTCTCTGTTTTTCTCTCTTTCTGCAGGTTTAGAGGCAGACTACTAGGGTGTTGATTTGTGATGCTTCTTTTTTTTATTTTTCTTCCTTTCTTTTCCATCTCTGTGTCCATTACTTTTGAAATAAGTCCAAACGTAATGAGCTTAATTACTGTAGCCCAAATCAATTTGTAATTGCTTTGGGCTTATTTCATAGCAAAAGCGGTAGCACTCCACTTGAAAAAGTCAATCTGTTTGGCCTCAACTTGACATACAACAGTTGTGAGAGCCACCCTGCCAGACAGAATACGCTGAAAAAATAAAAATCTTTTTTATCAAATGAACATCCTCAGAAGATTAGGTGCAGTAAATCCGAGGCTATTTGTTCACAGAGAGCTGATCCTGCCTGAAGTCTGTCAGAGTGACGTTGATCTCCACAGCAGAGTGAAGGGATTCAACCTGCTTAATTTTAGTCATTTAATCATGTTTTAAGCAAGGCATGGATAATTTCACGTACCATCAAATCAGACTTTTCCATCCAATCATCATGACTCTGACTGCCAGGTGGATTTTAGGCTTTTAAAGAATTATTTGAATTTAATAAGTGCTTTTGGCACGTTGCACATCAACCACATGCTCTTTGGAGCTACGAACCATTATTATTCTGGATGGATATTCTAAAAGTAATTCTAGGCACAGTTGGTGAAGTCCATTAAAGATATCCCCATGTATTTTCAAAAGGGGTGAGGTTAGAGCTTTGGGCCTTTCCAGATTATTGGCTGGCTTTAGTCACTCTAAAAAAGTCTTGATGCGAGTTTGGGATTAGGCCTGTCGCGATAAACGACAAATCAATTAATCGCACGATAAATTAAACCTGTCGACCTCATTTTAATTGTCGGCTTTATCGTCTCTTCCTGTCTTTTTTTCTTTCTGTTGATGACACTGAATGAAAACGGGCTCAACTCCGGTGCTCTTCCTTAGTGTAATGTCCAGCTCACACTACAAGAGTTGTTGGCGGACTGTCGGCCCATTTTCAAAACCTGAGAGACCACCATTAGCCGACAGAAATCCTAGGTATAACGGTTCGATCGGGTTTGATCGTGCCGTGTGGTGTCCAGCCACATGGGCACAAAATGATGGCTACAATTCCAGTTTACTAATTTTAAAACCAGGCATTAATCAATGCTTTATTAGAATCTACCTGTGATGCATGTGGCTAGAGTCAGCGTAAAGTCCTGAGCTCAAGCTAAGCTCAAAAGCATTCATACCCTGATTTTTATTCAGTCAGGAAGTTTTTTATTCCAGGTAGTGGGTGAAAAAGATCTCTCTCAAAATATTATATAACACAACAGATCTCCTTTAAAACATCTGTTTGTGTTTATATTTTAAGATTAAATGGCATGTAAAACATGATTTACACCTTTCTTAATAACGAATCTGAAAATATGTATTGGCATTGCAGCAATCAGATCCTTGATGTAATTGTTGAGCAGTTTTTTACAGCTCTGATATTTTGATGATTTATCTTCACTGATGAACTCCAAGCCTTTCAGGTTAGAAGGCCCCCTTGCAATCACCCTAATCTTTAGCCTTTAGCTCCTTCCACAGGTTCTCTATCCAATTCAAGTCAGGATGTTAGGATTACTTCCAGTCAGGAGAAACATGATGGTTAAATAAAACAGTACTAAATATGCTGTTTTATTTAGTACTGTAATTTTGGGCTTCTGTATGGTTATGACCCTGTGTCACTTAAAAATCTGCAATAAATTCACATTTGGAGACCCAAATCTTGTAAATAAAATACATTGTGCTCATGGGTTGCATTATTATTGCATCTCACAAAACCAGTAATTAAAAATATCCTTAAAAATTAAAGTTAGTTTTTAAGGATTACTAATAAACTAACTAATTAAAGTTAGTTTTTAAGCCACAGCCGTCCCTTCTGATCTTCTTGAACAAAACCTTTATGCCTTAACATGGCGATTCTCCTGTGTGAAAGGAGCAGTTGCAAATAGATATAAATGGTGTATTAAAAAGCAATAAAAATGATGAAAATCCATTACATACCGACTGAAACAAGTTGTGGTTTGAATTTCAAACCACAACTTTGAGACAGAATCGTGTTAAACACTGTGCCAGTTAGCAGAGGAAACACTGTGAAGGCGTTTTATAGCAACAAACCTGTGATTCTGTCAGACCAGACACAAACGTTAGTCTTTAGTTTAAAGATGCTTCCAAATGTGATGATTTTACAACACACTGTACAGAATCAATGTTGGAAATAAATGAGGTAGATTATTTTTTATTATTATTTTTGCCGTTCACTTATTTACCAAAACACAGAGATGTCCTCTGGTGCAAACCTGAGCCTTTAAATGTGATCAACACATACCAGATTAAAGTGTTGACTCTGACTGGAAGTGAAATTTGCAGCTCAGTGAAGTGCTGATGAAGGTAAAAATAGAACAGTTCCTCATTCCTCCTCCTCCATCACATTTGTCTTCCTCACAGCCTGTAACCCTGCAGTCGGAAAGATGGATGCTTCTCACCACAGGAAGACAGATCTGTGTAACCTTTAGCAGTCCTGCAAAGGACGCTTCCTCATGGCAGCTGCTTTCTGAAGTGGCAGAACAGGGTGAGTGGAAGCGTGTGTCAGGGTGATTCTGGGTGGACCGGAACGACACCCTGTGGAATCGGCCCATCCCTGAAGGAGACAAGGAGCCACTGCCCACCCCGTCCTGCAGCTCTGCTCTGTAATGAGGAAGCACTCACTGCATGCGGGTCTGCAGGGATTTCCCTCTGTCCTCACAAACTGTCACCAACGCTTGAGTAACCCAGACCAGGTTCACACCAGTGCAAATCATTTTCTGCAGTAGTTAACTCTCAGATGTTTTTTTTTTTTTTTTATTCTTAAACTTTTCATAAAAGACTCCTCCTAAAATCCTGGTTTAGTGTTGAAGCATCTGGGGAACTTTGAGATGACTTTGTAGAGGATTTTTTTTCCTGCTTACTTGAACATAATCCAAAGGGAAGACCAACAAACATCTCTTTGTTTACTTCCTTGTTGTTGTTGCAGCAGCTTGTAAAGACCTCATGTGGTTTGGTGACAAACAGAACATCAAACCAAAGAACCAAACTGCCTACATTAGAAGGGCTCTGTGGCGCAAATTATGTGTACTTTTATTCAGGTAAAGATAGCAAAACATCAGCATAAAGACGGCCATTTTACCCATCATTCTGAAATCTAATCCGTTTTTCCCTCTGGAGATGTGAGGATCCGCCTGCAGCAAGAAAGCAGCTGAGTCCCTCACATGACCGCCGGCTGTATTTCTGTCATTAAACAGCAAACAGTCGCCTCTCAGTAAGCCCTTTGCTAATCTTCAGCTGCCTCTCATGTCTGAAGTGCTTTGCCTGTTTGTAAGTGTTCTGCAGTGAGCTGTGTCCCTGCTTCCTTTAGGGCTCAAGGTAGAAATCTGCTGAAGGAAGCAATCAAGTTCAAACAGCAGAGAGCCACAAAGAAAGAGACAATATAAAACTTTCTCTTTCATCAATGTCCAGAAATCCTTCAATCTGGAAGAGCTTCTTTAAATTAAAGACATTTTAAGGCTTTTACGTTAGACACATGAAGACTTTTTAAGACTTTTCAGGATACAATGAGACTGCATCTCATTCACATTGTAAGGTCATATTATTGTAAACTGCACCACACATTCTCCTGTTAAGACTCATGCTTGGAAAAAGTCTGCAGAGTCCACATCTCACCTGGTGGGGTTATCCTCCTTCTAACTGCATTTCAGTCAAACGTTTGTCTTTCTTCTAAACTCTAAATAGTTTCCAGTATTAAACAGTTCTCTGTAAAGTATCGGTGTTGGTTACCAGTCATGTTGGATGGGCCTCATCCAGCTGAGTCACTGCTAACTTTGATCAATGAAGGTTTTAGTGTGTGTGATGTGAGTGTTTCATCCTGAAGCTGCTGCAAAAATCCCACAGTGACGCTGAAGGATCTGCAGGAAAGGCCAAGTCAGCTGAAACCAGTCGAATGCTTTGTGTACCGATGGCATCTCATCTTTTACTGAACTTTTGTTCAGGAAGTCTAAAGAACATCAGCAAAAATAATTCAATTCTCTCAGGTACTGTGAGGGAAAACAAACTTCTAGTTCCTGTTAAAGTCCTGGATGAAAAACTGCTCAGCTTCATTTCAACTCTTAGCTTCCCAACGGAGAAAATGTATAAAACATGATGAATTTATCTCCAGTCCAAAAGGCAAACTGAAGATAGGTTGAAACAAACATGTTCAGTTTAAGGGCTGCTATGAGTTCTGCTGATGTACAGGTGTAACTGAGCAAGCATTAACAATATATATGCGGTCAACGAAACACAAAAAGACAAGCTACAAAAATATGCACAAAAAACAAACAAACAAACAAACAAACAAAACAACAACAAAAAAACCCTTTACTGAAGCAATTACCTCCAGGCATAAAGTTTGTGCACATGTAGAAACAAAGAAGCTGAACTGAGCTGCAGGAAAAGCTCTGCTCTGCAGAACTCTGTCTCCAGTTTGTTCTGGCAGGACGGTCCAGCCCAGTGCTGTGTGAGGCAGGCCAAGGGACTTTGATGTACTTTATGTGTTGTTATGGGAACTCATTTGACCGGTATTTGGGTCCAATGAAAACTACCATGTACAAGAGCCAGGATCATAATTTACACATGATAACAATGCCAGATATGAACAGCTTAGAAGATGTCAGAAAACATGAAATGCACATTTTCACTTTAAACACATCTAGGTACATCTGGGAACTGAAAGAAACATGAGGAGTCTCAATTCATCCCAATTAATAATAATAAAAAGATTTACACTTGATTGACATTGAACTCCATCAGAGCTGCAACTCAGCTCCAAACCTTTAAAGATGGAAGCATATAATGTGTTTTCCAGGCATATGGTGCCATTTTATAGCACAGTCAAACAACTATGTTACCTTTAGTTAGAAAAGTGCTGCATAGCAATATATTTATAACAAAATTAAAATAAAAAAGAAATGTGACTTTGCCTCATAGCATAACTTTGCATCTGATGCCTTGAAATTGGGCCTCTGTTTCTTTAAGAATCTCTTCCCCTTTCCAGTACTCCGCCTTCAGCAGAGTCATCACATTAATGCTTCTCCATGATGCCATTCACAACTATTCTTAAGACTGAGACGTAGTTTCTATGTTGAGCTCAGCAGGCGCTCACTTCCACCTGGTTTTTCTAACTGCTGCTGCCGCTAGTCTGGAGGAGCTGTGAGGGAGATAGGGGAGGGGGTGCTAGTGGAGTGTCTGTGTAGAGTAGTAGCCTTAGCTACACTTACCTCAACTCTTTTTTGGCGTAAATTATCAACATGATTCACTGTTTTTTTTTTTTGGTATGCCATAAATTTTGAACGAAAAAGATAGATTTGTTTTTTAGAAATAGTTGAAACCTGTAATCCATGGGGTTGGTTTCAGAAATCTACAAAAGGTTAAAATTATAATCCTACAGTTGGTGTAGAGTTTACAGCACACAGAAAGTAAAGAACAGGTAGAGATAAATGGATTTCAGTTGTTTTAAAATTAATTGTGTTTTTCAGGATCCCCAAAGAAAGTGATTCTAGCTCTACATCTCTACCTCTATAAATCAAGACTAAATAAGATGAAAAAAGGCAGAAGCCAGCCAGTACCCACCACATGTCCAAGCAGGTGGAGTAGTCAGTGGATCCCAGCAGGACATCTGGAGGCCGGTACCACAGGGTCACCACCTCATTGGAGTAGGTGTGACTGGGGACTGACTTGGCCCTGGCAAGGCCTGAGAGGGCACAGGAAGCACAAACACAACAAAAAACCTTTAATTTAGTCTGAATCATTGGCATTTACAGTTTGCCTGGTACAGATTTTGAACCACTGTTTAGTCTGTGTAATTCTGAAACATTGAACTCAGTGCCTGATTGAAGTCTGACTACAAAGTCTTTTGAGACACGTGTCTTTAGACTGATTTTTGCATAATCAACTGAAACAAACCTAAAGTTACCTTTTCGGTGGAGATAAAGATTTAAGACCTCTGAAGTTTCAGTAAAACACAGAGAAACAAATAGCAGCCAGATAAACCCACAGGACACAAAACTCTTGTTTCCATGCAAATATGATGGTTGCTAGGGATTTTTAGACCAACCCTATAGGAGGTGTAGAGTTTAGTCCAATCTAAGGTTCGTCCATGGTGATTCCATGGCTAGCCCTGCTTGTCTTACCTGAATCTTTAATGTTTCTCAGGGGTTATATTTCATTTACCAGGTTCCTGATCTTCTAGCATTTATCAGTTTGGTGACAGAAACCCAGTTAATGGTAGAGCAAAGTGCAAATGCACTGAGCTTTAATGAGGCTGATGGCATTACCCCTTTGTCTCTTCCCAAGTGGTAGAAGGGCTTAATTAAAGCATTTAGCTTTGTAAAAAAGAAGAAGAAGGAAAAAAAGACTTCCTGCCCTGCAGCAAGTCCCCTGTGAAAGGGAGGAAAAAGGGCAGAGTGGGAGAATAAATGATAGGAGGGGAAGGTATTTAACATTTCCTTGTGTCAGAACACCCACAGGAGATGGGAGTTTCAGCCGACAGTCATTACCCACCACTGTAATTTCCACACACTGATCTAACACAGAATGGAGGGCATCAGACCACTCATGGTGAGAGGCTATCATCTCCACCGTGTGTGTGTGTGTGTGTGTGTGTGTGTGTGTGTGTGTGTGTGTGTGTGTGTGTAGGTGTGTGTGTGTGTGTGTGTGTGTGCGTGTGTGTGTGTGACAACTTCATGAAGGAGGTTATAATGGTTGGAGGTTGGCATGCTTTTGTAGCTTATGCAGCTGTTGTTTGCTGGAGAAATAAAGCGTGTGTGGAAAGTCAGGATGAAGGAATACCAAGCCGTCCAGCTTCCCACTGTTCCCAGCACGCCTGTCAACACTTCCAGCTGAACCATATGCTGCTGGGGCCCAGTAGGTGGCACACACACTGGTGCTGCTCTGAGGGCTTCAGGTTGAATAATGCGTTGGTCTCTTTATCTGTGTAATGACTCTCATCCATCGGCTGGCAGCAAAGCTTAGTTTTTAATTATCTAATATTTCTCTGTTTTATTTCTGAGAGATAATTTCCTCCACGACTTTGATCATATATCACATCTTTTAATCAGCAATTTTCTACACTCACTTTATTCTGCTTAGGGATGTTGGGATGATAAAAACTATTCCATCTCTATCTGGTTCCTGAGCTAACAGACACACATCAGGCAATAATCCAGCAGTTCCCCAACTGATAGCAAAGACAGCTGGGTAGTAGCTAGATAGGATTAGTAATTAGTGACAAGTTGAAGACCAAGCTCATCAACCCTGTATTCTAAGACTTAAGCTAACAAGCTGAAGGTAGTGAATGGATAGATGGATGGAATAGCTGAACTGTAGGCTGAAAAGCTAATTTCCATCATATGAGTATGTTTTAGCTAATATGTGGAGTCAATAGAGACAAGGAGTAAGGCTCTTGGCTACAGCAAAGATTTGAAGGAAAAAAGTGACTAAAGTGCTTGTGGTGAACCAAATACAGCTAATGACACAACAAGCATCTGCAATCAGCAAGATTGCACATAAAATTAGTGATGGAGCTGGTTCTCCGCCATCACTGACCAATGGCAAGTTTGTTTTCCACCCACAGACACTTTAAATGCAGCCAAATGTCTTAGCTCACTGTGCTCAGCACACACTGGAAAATATCTCATTTGCTCAAAAGCCTAACTCCCTGAGCGCACACAAAACTGCCAACATACGTTACCACATCTACGTGGGTATGTTACAGCAGATATAATGGCAACAGAAAAGACAAATGGATTCAACCTTCCCCCTCTAAGCCCCCTGTGTCCCATGACAAAGAGGACACTACTTCAAAGGTCTGACCTTTGGATTCAAACACACTCAGACCTTCAACCACCTTCACTTGGAGCGCTTCTCCAGCTAACCTCCTTCCTGTGCAGGTAGCAGTCCAAAGAAAGGTCACATGTTAATTATACATCACTATCTTACACTTTTACGGGTTCAACAAAAATACAGTGGTGAGGGCAGGAGGGAGGACGACAAGGTGGACAGGGTGAAGGAGGATGGTGTGGAGAAATAAAACGGGCTGCGTACCTCTTTGTTTTATCATTTGGATACAGTTAGGTATGAAGAAGTCCTGAGAAAGAAGATTCCTGAAAATATGCCCAATTTCATGTATTTCCAACAAATAATATTGTTGGAGATTTTATAAAATACCTCTTATTAACAGACTGACCATTTTGTGTTTGACCTCGTCTGAGTGTCCAGTCGTAGCAGGATCATTTTGGCCCTTCACTTCCACTTTTTTGATGTTTGCTGATGCACATGTATGCACAGTTTTACAGGCTTCCTTTGCTCTCTGATTCTGTAACTTCTGCAAGTTTATTATTTGATTTAACAAATCTAATCTAAAAACACTGAAATATGACTGCTGTCAGCCACTGAAGAGAAGTAGAACACACCAAAACCTTAAAATAGATACATTTATTTATTATTTTTTAATTATAGAACACATGTAAAACAGGGTTTCACCAAAGTGTTGAGCAAGAAGAAAATCAATAAGTCCAACATGGTAATGTTTTGGACTGAGTTCTTTTGGTCTGTTGGGTTTCAGCTCTTGAAGTGGTGAACTGGATGGAATGTATGTATGATAATGTATGTATGATTGGACTGAACTGATGTTTTTTAATAAAGTGCCTTTTAGTTATGTTTATTTACATAACTGGAATTATGTAAATAAACTGAACTGAGCTGAATTGACAAAAAAAGAGTAAAATTGAGAAGATCAACTTTACAATCACTTTATTCAATTTTAATTGATTTTTGTGGAATATTGATCAATATTTTTATGTGTATTTTCTTGATGATTGTGATGACGGCATTTGACAAAATGTAATGTTTATTACTTGTTTCATGATATAAAATACATTAAACTGCTTTGTTGCTGAAAATGTGCTTCACAAATAAACTTGAACTTGACTTAACATACAAGAGCTATTAAAGTAACCAATAAGCCAGTGGAAATAGTGTGAAGGTCATCAAAACAAATAAAAGAGTCTAAGTAACTAACTATGGTAGGCAACCAGGCAGAAAGCCTAATGTGACTTAAGAAGGTTTTCAACTTCAGAATTTCATAGTTAAAAGAATCGTAGGCAGCAGTGTTGCTGAGTGAATCATTGGTGGAAATATTATTATTCTATAAATCAGGGAGGGCACAAAAACAACATTTCTGGTAGATTTTCAGATGGAAAATTTGAGGCCACTCCTGCTCTGACCTGATGGGGGCAGTATACTCTTACTCTGATTTACAACAAAAACAACATTTAAAGGTGACACTTTTTTTTGTTCCAGTGCTAATCTTTTTACACAGATCCCTTTGTTCAGTGAAGCAGTTTGATTAAAAACAACAGTTGCTTGCGGCATTTTTGATCTGACAAAGCAGCTTTTAAAATCAATTAGAAATTAGAATCCCAGAGTCTGGGTTTTGTAGCATCCCTGGCCTTAACATGCCGAGTATAGAACAGCCCAAGTAACTGATCCAAAATAATGCACATATCTACATATACATGTTAATAAATTGGGAATACACCACCTGTCATCGTCAAAGCTTATTTGCCAACACAAGGCGGACTGTAACACGCTCTGCATGAGGGTACAGTAGTCTGTAATGAGTCAGCTCAGTAATTACCAAACACGTTCATCTCAGCTGCTCATTTCAGTTTATTTCCAAGTTTGGACCAAACCACACACAGATCAGCTGCATTTCTTAACCTAATTGACTTCAAAAAGACCATCTGCATGTGTGTTCAGGCCCAGTGGTGCTACTACTGGTGCAGCGAGGCACTGGGCCGAACGTCACACTGGGGAGATCCAAACAGTCCGATCGGGTGCCTGGGACATTCCTCCAGCTCCATTGTCACATTGCTTCCCTCCTCACACATCATTATCCCAGCAGCTATTACTCCACAGAAACTCCCCACTATAACACACACACACACACACACACATCAGTGATTGTCTAGCTACAGCAGCTCTCCTCCACAGGAGAAACTAGAGTAAAGCTTAGAGATTTTTCAGCATGAATGTCAGCTGAGTGTGAAACAGATATGTATACCTGATCTTCCTTCTCACACCTGACTGGTATGTAGTTTAGATTTGCTTTTGAAGAACAGAAGCAAATCTAAGAACAGAACGATGTGAATATTTTGATGATAAAATAGCGTCCAGTGACAGCTTTAACCTTTCAACTTTAATTTATAAAAAACACAAATTAAACTGAACTATTCAGGTAATGTAACATTTATAGAAGCAAATATATTTAGGTTGTTAGTGTTTTTTCAAACAAACACCGATGATTTAAATGCTCATGTTGAATGACTTTTCAACAACTCAGCAAGAAAAAATAAATTAAATTCTGGTACACTTGAAATAAGACTAAACTCACAAGTAATTCTCAGCAAGATATAGGATCATGTCTTAAGTCATTAATTCCTCAATAATGATTAAAAAAAAAACAGTGCTAGTTCCAGCGGCAGATTGTTTCACTTATAGCAGGACGTTCTTCATGTTTTAAGTGAAATGATAGTGGAATGAAATGCTGACTCAAGAATCTGTGGAGTTTCCTTCTGACCTGTGTTGGTGCTGCTGTTGGACCTGTAGCTGTGTCCTACTGTGGAAAAGTCCTGAATGGCAAAGGGATCCTTTCTACAGGAATGGTAAAATATTCTTCAGTCAGAGTCTTTTTCAGATTTGCTGGTACACAGACAGCTATAGGAGACCCTTCCTGCCCTCAGCTGTCAGCATTTACAAAAACTCTGAAGAAACTTGTTTAGTTACATTTAATTTCCCTCTGGATCAACAAAGTATCTGAATTGAATGTATGTCTTAATAACCTAAAGAAATGCAGGAAATGATCCACTGTATTATTTCTAATTCAGTCCAGACTGATGTTTTTGTTCTTTCTGACTATAACCAACAAAAACCTACAGCACCACTACTGTCCCTAATGTATCGCGGTCATTAAGAAAACAAATTTCAGTGTGAGATATTAAAGTAAGTTAATATCTGACGAATCAGCAAATCCCCCTGCCGCCTCTTACTTCACCCAGACCCTGCAGCAGCTGACACAGCTCAGGGGGAAGTTTTGGAAGAAACAAAATCAGGCCTGAAATAATCACCTGTAGGTGAGGAAGGCGTGTGAACTGAGAGAGAAAAGTAACTTTAATAGTTCACACAGCTGCTTCCACACAAACAGTACACATCAGAAGGCTTAGTTGGCCTCAATTAACTGTGTCCTTGATATGAAACGCAGGCTTCTTAAAGCCTCATTTACAACGCTGCTGCTTGTTTCTGCTCATTAAAAAGAGAGTAAATCCACAGTGGAGCAGAGAGGAGCATCTGGACCGACCCACATCCAGCAGCGGGATACAGAACCCCGGCTTCTTTGGCTGATGAGAAACTGTTGCTCCGTGGTTAGGCTGAGCCTTATGAGCCCCCTGCATAAGCATGGGATGATTCAATAATAATACCAGCACGTTTAGCAGGTAATGTCCAGCCTCTCAACTCCCTGGATTAATATCAGGCTGCAGACCCTCAAAGCCACTTTCACAACTCTGAGCTCTACCAGTCTAATAACGCCCTTCAGTTCACACAGGCTCAGAGGAAATCCAGTCTGACTTCATTTCAGTTCTTACTTGCACAAGGGTTGAATAAATGCTATTATTTAAGCGCTGCCACATTGTTTCCTGTTTTCTTCTGTGTGCTGGGGTTCCAAACAGAACAGCTCTTGTGTTGGTCCAGGAAGAGATCAATGTGATGGAGTCACAGTGGACTACTGCAAAAAACAGCAGAGCACCACAACTGGAGAAAACCTGGGACAAGCTTTCCTGCAAAGATGGAAAGCTTCGCAGGAAAGTTGTGAAGTTGAATCCATGAGGCTACAAAGTTGTTCTACTGCCAGAGCTTGGAAATAAACTCAATTTCTTGTTAAAACTGTTGTTTCACATGCAGTGAATCAGGGCAGGATTCGAACCAATCACTAAGCCCTCTGTACCTGGATCACACACTCTACCATCTGTGTCACCTCAAAATAAAAAAGTTTGCAGTTATGAGATAAGTTTTATATATTATCGAAGCTTTCTTGTTTAACGAGATATAAAAAATACTCTCCTCTGATATTTATGTTAAAAATGCATAAAACAGTTTGCTTTGACTCTCCTCACCCCGATTCCTCTAGATGAAGTAGATGTGCTGCTATTTCACCGTTACAACCTTTCTTATTGAAAAGAGAATATATGTTGGTTTCAATGAAATACGAGTCTCATTATAACAAGTTCTTAAAATCTTGCTAAAACAAGAAAACTTTCTTGTGGTAAGGTTTTTTGCATCACATAACGAGAAATTATTTCTGTTTTAACGAGATATTGTTCCTGAGTTTCTTTTCGAGCTCTGATAGTTAAACGCTTTTGTACAAAATAACCCAGAATAATATCTAAAGGTTTTGGTTTAGTTAAGGTCAGCATTCATAGATCAACAATAAAGAAAAAGAGAGAGGCAGAAAGCACGGCTGACCCAAAAGAACACAAAGGCCCGTCTCCTCCAAAACATATCTTGATGATGTGGGAAAATGTTCTGTGGACTGAGGAGATAAAAGTGGAGTTTTGTGTTTGTTCTGTTACAACAGGAGCAGAGCTAACACAGAACCAGCTTCAGCCATAGTTCTACTGTCTGCAGCTGAACCAAACAACTGCAGTAACACTGGAGGAGAATCAGCCTGGTCATCAGTTCTGGTAAAGCTTGTGTTTTTCAGCATGATAATGATCTGATGCTCACCAGCAAGACGATCAAAAAAAACAAAAGAAAAAAAAAAAGAGTAGACGCAGATAGAATAAACAGAAGCGATGATGCTCCAGCTGTACAGATTATTTTATATACTGGAGAATAAATGTGGAAAGACTGCAGCGACTCAGACACTTTAGCAACATGACAGCTAAAGCTGTCATAAGGTTGAGAATGACCCACTAAGATCAAATTGAAAAACAAAAGCAAAAGACTAAAATACAAGATTGATTTCTATAATTAAAGGAATTCAGGAAGGTTGTGGAGAAACTCCTCACATATGAAGCTGAAGGAACTTTGAGATTCAGAAGAGAAGAAGATGAAGAAAAGGAAATCCAAAGGGATGATTTGTTGATGATTTAAACCCCATTCTAGTCAAAGTCTTTCATTATGACCTACTATGTAATAATATCCTAGTTGGAGGTTTCATGTCAGTGACCTGCAGGGTGAAGAGATGAGATGTTAACTATTGTGGGTCAGGCTGGTCATGTTCAGAGTAACAACCCAACTTCTATCTTTACTCAGTGTCTGTTGCCTGTCACTGATGGATGCAGCGCTCTGCCGCCTCCCATCGCCAGCCTCAGCTTCCTCTCCATTGACGCCCCCCCTCCATCCCTCATGCGGACCCCAGCCAGAGCCACAGGCCTCAGCTGTGGACTGTTAGTATTCCTGCTGCCAAGCAGAGACCCCCAGAAGCTCTGGAGTCACACACACCTCACCCTCCTCATCCGGCCCCCCTCCGGCCAGACCTGACTGCGTGCGTTTGTGTGCATGTGTGTGGATGTGTGGGTGTGTGTTGATGAGCTCCCACAACAGTGGGATTTTCATATTTGCTCATTTGGTATTTTGTCCATTATTTTTCTCTTCCTCATTTCCTTCACAGTAATGTTTCTACACTAATACAAGGTTTGCATTATTGATGAAGCACACACACACACACACACACACACACACACACACACCCACGCACACCCCAATCCTCCTCCCATCTGTCTAGGCAGAGGGATAGAGGGGCGGAAAGGTGCAGAAGATGGATGGGCAGAGAGAAGGAGGAAATGGGTGGAGAGATAAAAAGGGTGTGCTGGACAAAAGACATGCCTGGATGGACGGATGGATGGATGGATGGGCAGACAGATGGACAACGCTAAATGAGGCAGCCTGACCAGTTTGTCCCCCCAGGAAGTAGACTTGCTGTACATGAATCCAAGTCATATCCCACACACACTAGTATGTGGATAGGTTCAAAAACACACAGACCAGAGGCAGGGAACTCATTGATTCATACATTTACTTCAATCAAGCAACTTTAGCCATTTTTTGCATGTGCTTGTAAGAAAAACATCAAATGTGGCTGTTTGGGAGGGTTAAGAAGGAAGCATCTTCTCTCTTAAAGCAACAGAGCATCATGGTTTGGGCTTACGAAGCTGCATCGGAATGAAGGAACTTCTGGAACAATGTAATGACACAACCAAGAAGAAAGTAGAAATGTTTGGCCATGAAGCACAACGCTACATTTGGAGAGAACCAAACACAGCATATCAGCACAAATGGTACATGCTAACTCTTGTACAAAGAGAAGAAGGAAGAAAATTAGCATCGACGTCAGAGGATCAGTTTGCAGTCCACTCACCGAAGTCGGCGAGTTTTAGCTCTCCTGTGTCGCTGATGAGCAGGTTCTGTGGTTTCAGGTCGCGGTGAAGGATGTACCTCTGGTGAATGTAGGACAGGCCTCTCAACAACTGGAACAGGAAGAGCTGGAGAAACAACAGAAAAACAAATGAACAAGGGAAGTAAGTCGGTTCATAAAACACAACAAACAAGTCTGTTGTTTTCTCATCTTTCAGTCGTATTCCGACCCATTTGAATGAAACCTGAACCTCCACGTCTCTGGAGGCTCAGGACTTTAGACAGTGTTATCTGGAGAGATTCATTCATTCATCAGAAGCATAGAAGCATTAGCAACTGACACAGAGGCAGGACAACAATCACTAGCTGTTTCCTTTAACAGAGCATAGAATCGGCAAATTGAAATTATGAAAATTAATATGCCCAATGAAAACACACACATAAAAAAAACCTCAGGTTTTTCACTAAAAAAATGAGGTTTAGCGTGGTTTTTCAACCATACCGAAATAGTTGCATTTCGCAAAATTGCAATGGAAACACTTTTTTAGAATCATACCAGTCAGGTGATCAACAGCCTGATGTTACTTCTGGTAAAACCATGAAGAAGACGACAGGAAGCAGTAGGAGGATGGTGGTTTGTTTTGGGGTTTTTGGACAATGGAAACGCCGCTGGCTCTACCAGAGCTCTCACAGCATCACACTTCATTAAAAGTTGTCATTCCAATGTGTTGAATCCAAAGCTCTTCTGTAAAATGGCCGACTACAATTTTCCCAAAACACCACATACATAGACACTCCAACACTCCTTTGGCAGATGATGAACGCTAGTGTCATGACTGAATATATCTCATGTAACTGTTTATATCAGTCACTGCCTTTATTTTTAATGACTTAAGCTTTTTCAAATGTGATTTAAATTGCATGCCTTGTTTGATGGAAACACCACGATTGCAGAATTGTGTTTTTTCAACATTAGGAGAATATAGACAAAGATTAAAATGGAAACGCATCGACTAACTCTTCCAGTTTACTTACTGCTGTGATTGGTCAGAGCAATGTTTTATTTCTCCATAATCACGGCCTCTACTCTATATTTACTCTGTATGTTTTACACCTTCAGGAAAAAATAGAGTGAAAAGCAGAAATGTGTCAGGATAGATGTTGCTGAAAGGTTGGCAGGTTGGGTTTCTGAGATTCGTTACTGCAAAGGGAGGAAAATCGATGGACGAGAGCATGAGAGGACTGCTGACAGCATGGAGGAAACGGCTCACTGCTGGAAGACACTCTGACCTTTGAACCAGAAGGGAGATTTTATTCATTCCTCACTACATCGGGACATGTCTCTGTTTGCATCAGTTGCACTGCTGCATATTGGATTTTTTAATCAACTGAGCTGCATGCAAATAAAAACTGTAGCAAATGAATTTACTGCGGTGATGTGCTGAAAGCTTCTGCTTCCTTTTGAGCTTGCTTCTAACTTTGTGCTTCGAAGAGAATTTTTATTTGATTTGCAATTCAAATCTGAGGATGAATAGCATTTGTGATTTTAAAGCTTTAGCCAAACCTACAGCCATAGTTGGAAGTGAACTGTAAATATTTGTTTCCTGGTTTTGTAGATTTGCAGCTGAGTTTGGGACTAATGTGGTGTGGTATGACCCAGTTCCTGTCAGAAGTGAGCTGACTGACAGCCTCATTTTTGCACTCTGGAATACAGTCAGCTCTATTACTGCAAGCTGATTGGCTGTAAGACAAGCCCCTGTCATCACTCCTCCACTGCTGTGCTGACAAACTGCTTGTTTGTCCCAAATTCCTGCCTGGTTGTAGCCAAGCAACTCTACTTTTGATATGATGCAGGACCAAAGACCAGAGAAGGAGGAAGTTAAAAACATCTCTTCCACCATAACACAGAGATTTAAAGAGGAGCAGCAAAAACAGATAAGGAGGATTAGCAGAGCTTGTGACTGCATCATACAGGACATGTTACTGTCCTGGATGACTGTAACATGTCATCCAGGTCATCCACACTACGAGATGATTAATACACTACAAAGATGATATTCTCTGCTCTCCGCTGAGCAGAGAATATCATCTCTGTGGAATATCATCTCTGCTGCCTGGATGCTGAATTGTTAGCATATTATACAGCAGTAGCATCTTCAGTCAGAGGCTTTTTCAGATTTGTTGCAACACCGACTGCTACTAGAAATTCTTCCTATTCATAGAATCACGATCCAATACACGCTTTGAAGATATGTGGATGATATGAGTTATGACATTTAATTACCCTTTGGGATCATTGATCAATAAAGAAATTTAAGAATTGAACTGAATATAGTAACTCGACTCAGCTTGATTTGCAACAAAAGTGACAAAATTAAAGGGGCATAATCATAGTACATGAAGGCATTCCTATGATGTGTTCACCAGAAACGCAGTTGCACCAGGTGTTTGCCAACTGCTGCTGCCACTAGTCTGGAGGAGCTGAGTCACAGGAAGGGGTGCACTATGAAACAGAAGCTTGTTTTCTAGTCCATGGATAGTTGCAGTGGGAGATTAAAGGATTTCTCAACAGCAGCAGCAGCACTCCAAGTATTTTTTAATGAGGGAATAACATTATAACATGATGTAAAGCTCAAAAGAGTGGATTTTACATATTACAAACTGTTACACCAATGAGACGCATCACTCAGCTCCAGAAAGTGCATCATGGGGATTTTTCTTGTTTATAGTCATAATGTTTTGGCAGATTGGTCTATTTCAGATGATTTGTTTCCTGCATTTGCTAATTAAAGTTTGTTCTGACACAAACACATACAATTAAATTGGTTATTTTACTGCAATAAAATGCCCAGAAAAATCTTATCAAAATGTCTGAATTCACATCCACTGACATGCCAACCAGGAAGATTAAATTTCATTTAAATTTACATTTTTAATCCTAGTTAAAGTGCTGAACCATTTCACAATGCTCCTCAAGCCGCTTCCAGCGATCTTCAACCCAACGTGAAGCGCCAACGAAAATGCTGTTTTTAACACGTTTCCTTCATAAAGTACCTGCTGCTGTCACTCTGACAGCTTCAAGAGGTAAACAAAGCCCTGAACCCAGAGTCAGAGCTTGTTTTTCTTTTTGTAGCTCTGAGATCTGGCGGCACATCACCCCGCTTCTGTAGACACGTCAGTCAACAAATAACAAGGCATGCGCCACGCAGCTCTTCATTTTATTCCAATTCCAGCAATCCACTCTCGTCTCTCTCCTCTCACTGATACTCTAGTTGTGGCCAATTAAGCTGATTGAAGCACCGTGGAGTCCAATCAGGGACGGGGGCCTTGTCTGGCATCTGGAGCCACCGGGTCAACAGCTTACTATTCCTCCACTCGGCGGGGCAGAGACGAGCCACAGCGAGGAAAATTAGCATAGATGTGTGTGTGTGTGTGTGTGTTTGCTCATGTATATCAAAGACCCTTGTGAAAAACTCTCACCCTTTCATGGCTCGGATAAAAAGGAAAGAAAACTCTCTTTTCTTCCCCTTTCTCTTCAAACCGGGCAATAAAGGAGCGCGATTCTTTTTTCTGCTGCAAACACCTGATTTATATTTACATTTTAATATTATAGTGATGGAGGATGAAGGATTCTGTTTATACAGCTTTGACTGGAGTAACATGACTCTGCTCTGCCTCCAACATGAAGCAGGCTTCAAGGCAAATAACACACAAAGTCCTAATATGAGGCCTGAAGGTTGGGCTAGCGAGTCTATGGAGCGTGTCTTGTTGCTGGCAACGGATTGGAGGATGAAGGAAGTAACCACAAGTGTGACGACATAAATAAACCATGGAAACACACAGGTACATTCAATATGCCAAATTAATAGCCGAGGTAGAAGAAAACTTTTTCTATGGAGAACGAGTTTAAAAGAACAACAAAGAATATTTCAAAATAAAGAAGAAGATGAAAGAATGAATAACTTCTTTGGGTAGCCATAATATAAATGATTCACACAGGGAAATAGCAGATCTGCTCTCGTGTCACAGTTTTATATATATATATATATCATTTGAGCCCTGTTAGTCTGCAGGCAGCATTTGGACTCGTATAACTCAGGTTAATGGATAATTTGGTCTGCTACTTCCTGATTTCGATACAAGTAGTTGTTATATGATGTTTTCCATTCCTGGCCACAAGTTTGAATTTCCAGTTCCAGTTAAATAATGAGTGCTCCCAGAATTATGTCTTGAAGAGTTCGGGTTTTCAAAGCAGCCCAAGCCTTAGATCCTGCCAAATTACAGTGAGTCTGTGTTTGGTGGCAGATGTGCCCGGGTAAAACAACAGAGTTAGTCTTAATGTTTTGGCTCATTACTCTAGCTCTTTGTTATTGATTGAAACAATATCCCTTAAGGATCTTCTTCTTCTTATGTTCCATGTGTGAGTTTGTTTAATCATGATGCATTATTAGTTCCTTACTGTGGGAGAAATGAGCTGTCTGATTGGAGTTAAATCATCCATTAACATAATCCATCACCTGAAGAATGACCCCACTGCACAGAAAATAATCCATCATCAGCACACTGATAAACACGCTGCCATTTCTCTAATGATTAAATACTTATTGCAGTCATACCCAGGGCAATCAGAGCTCCGTGTCAAGATAAGCATTATGAAAAAGTGGGCTGCTTCTGAGTTATCCATGTATGGAATGTAGTGGAGTGTATGTTTTGTCTGATACTCAATGTGCAGCAAAGAATGAGGCTATGCATCAAAGTGACAGCAGTACACCGGGGTTCATAGTTAGTTGTGTACGTTCTACTTTCTCTAGAACAAAGTAAGGGAAAATGGAGTCAGGCAGTTTGGCAGCAGAAGTAACATGTCAGACACGAAGATGAAACATAGCATTCCAGCTCCCACATCTGGAGACGGCATCATCAGAACAGACTGCTAGATGCCTGGTAAAAAAGTGTCCAAGTCTGGGAAGCAGTAGGTACTTACTCAGAGTATGTATGTCATTAGATTAATAATTTCTAACCAGAGACTTCATGTACAGAGATTTCAAAATTGAAAATATTTCAAGTTTGGTTGCTGTTGTTGCTGTTGGATTTGACTCTGTGAAGTGGAAACCTTTGCCTGTCTCTTGTC